TTCATGATAGAAAAGATACTTAGACGTAGCGTCATGCTGTGCATTTGTATACATTCTAGTATTAACGAGCTGAAAATATTGGAATTGAATTCACACAGAGAGTGACACTGTGAGGACTAGTTAGATTAATTAGAATTAGTTTCTGTATCAACTTGCATAATAAGTTTCAGGATATACCTGCTTCATAATAAATCGTTATTATTTTAAATTTTACGCAGGATATTTAAGAACAATAAAGTTATGTACAGCTAAATTTTGCTTCGCATCAGTGCGTATAATCTAGCTGAATCTAGCATTATAATATACTAAATAATTAAATATTCATACAATTGTTCGTAATATCGCGCATTAAGTAATCAATTGAAAAAGGAATACAGTTCTCTTTGTATATTTTTCCAGTGTTTACGGTTACGCCTGTTTTATATAAAGAGTCATCTTATTTTATAATACTTCTTAATATTCTGCTTTGTTATTTACAGAATATATTTTACGAGTTGTTGTAGTTTCTTAAAATGCGATTTGTTTCCACTTATTTGTAAAGAATCTCGGAAAATAAGAATATCAAAACAAATCTATACTTTATACATATATTAGAAGCATGAAAAAATTAAATAATAATTGAAGGAATTTGTATAACATAAAATATTTAAATTCTGCTACGACTCTCTCTTCTCCTTTTTAGAAGCGTTTGTTACATTTGATGTTTGATAAACGCATTAGAAATCATTATAAAAATGTGTTATATATTACTATAGAAATTATTTTATATTTTGTCGTATACAGAGAGGCTTAAGTATTTTTTATATGTGTAAGAACAAGATGAATTAAAGCTCTTTTTGTAAAAGAGATAAGAATACGCACTTACATTGTGAAATTTCAATATATCTATATAATATTTTTTGTGATGCATAATATTTAATATTGTTAAATCCGTAAATTTTTAATTGCTTTTATAATCTAGTCATGTAGAACAAAATATGTTAAAAAAACTCTATGATAATATTATTAAATTCCTTCTATATATATATATATTCAAATCTTTTATTTATGATCCTCCTACAAACATTTTCTTCAACAAGTTAATTAAACGAAATTATAAGGTAAGAAATTAAATATAAGATAAATATAAGATATTTATTTTTTCTTTTCTCAATTAATAAAAATATTAAATGTTAAGTACAGTTTTTCAATAACTAAAATCGTAAATTTTTTTTTAATTTCAAGAAACAATTCCAAAAATTATATTATGTTAGGGGGGAGAGACACTATTTTCCGTTATATATCCTGGTGAAAATTTTTTCTAAAATTCTTCATTTAATTTTTCAAAATCTTTATATATCTATTTTTCAAATTTTTAAGAATTTCTGTATTTTTTATATGAATAATATATGCATTCTCCAGAAGTATTAAATAAAAAAATACATCTCTTTCTTCATATCTTTGAATCCTGAAATATTCTAAAATTTTTAAGATTTCTCATTTTATGAATTTCTGAAGAAAATTTATAAAATCTGAAAAAGTTTAAAATATTTTTTCAAAAATCCTCATAAATTTAAAATTATGACAATGTTTTTAAAATATAAGCTGTTACAAGAATTTTTTTCATCAAGGCTGAAGTATGATAATGTAAAGAAAAAAGACTAAGGACTAATTTCATAAACGCTGATTAAATTAATCGGTCGTTGACTGATCAATCGCGTTTACTGTTTAGTAGAATTGACTAATTACAGTTGACAGTTATTCACAATTAAGCTTAATCGGCGTTGGTGAAACCAATCTTAGGCTCGTTTCTACCAGTATAGTCTATTTTTAAATTTCTCGGTTTAACTAATTCTTCATCTTTTTCCAATTCTGAGAATTAGAAAAAGATACAGAGTAATAGTTGAACTGAGATTAAAGTTAATCTACATTAAAGTTAATCTACATTGGTAGAAACGGATTTTAAGGAGACTTCACTTATGTAAATAAAAGTAGATCAATTTTGTGTTTCAAGTTTTGATTCTCGACACTCGCGGCGTGAACTTTGTAGTTCTCTCCATGATAAGACAAGGATATACTCGTCTGGTAATCCATTAGATGCATTCGTTTACCCAGTGATTAGCACAGAGAGTATCATTTAATCCTTGTTCAATTCGTACTCGAACAACAAGGATAAAGTAATTCTTCTGCGCTAACCGCTGCGTAAACGAATGCAGGACTAATGCAGATATAGAAAAGAGGGAGTAAATATGTGACATCAAGCTATGTCAGCCTTGAGTGATTTTGTCCTTATTTAATATTTAATAAACAACAAGGATAAAATGATGCTTAAAGCGTTGTAAGCGGCAAAGCGAACAGCCTTAGTCGAACAGCTACGAGTAGAGAAGATCGGAGTTAGTTGACTATAGGAATAAGTAGAATAATCGAGGTTACATTAAAAACAAAACACGCGAGACACGCATAAACGTGTCTGAGCACGCAACAGCAACTGCCACTCAGTCTGCTGTAATATCTTGTTGCGAACACATCTATGATAGAAGTTATGCTACAATTTTAAAAAACCTAAGTAAATATTTTTATTTTTAAAGTTTTTGTTTCACAATCGTATATGATTGTCTGAGATATTTGATTTTTATTTAGATAGTTAGATAGTTATTTAGATAGTTTAGATAGTTATTTAGATAATTTTATTATGTAGATAGTAATGTCCGTATTCATAATCAGATCTTGTACTTAAGGTTTCCTTAAATTTATCCTTAGATGCTCAGTAACCAATGAAATAATTCGTATCTGAAGATAAATTTAAGCCTTTAAGTGTAGTTTTTATTTAATGAAGTCTAACAGATTTTTTTTTGTTTATGTATCTTTGTCATCGTATATTGTTAATGTTTTTAAATAATGAGCGAATGGGGAGATAGTAGATTAATCATAGCATGGAACTGTATGACTCATTTAGTGACGACTCTTATAGTACTCAAAATTTTATTCCTTTAAAGATATTTTCCTTAGTGGTAAATGTTATAAGTTTAGTTCCCTTATGTCCAATCTCGAAAATTAGGCTCATTCGTATTTTTGCACGAAATGAACAAATTTTGCAAAAAGAAGCATTTTTTTGCCCTGCGAAGCGAATTTTTGTGTTTAAAATATATTTTTATAAAAGTTTTATTAATATGTAGTCAAAGATGTAGCTTAAAATTTATATATTAATCTTTATTTTAATAGTCTTAGTCAAATTGCTTCGATCCCGAGGCTAGTTGAATCAGATGGAATGCATTAGAAAATGCATTTTTTTTCATATTAGTTATCAGTTTCTCCTTATTATTAAAATATTATTAAAATATTAGGTAGTCAAATGATACTTCGCATTTATTATATTTATGTTAAAAACATCAAAATAATGTTAAAACAACATTATTATATGTATTATATGTATTTATATAAAAAGAATATATTTTTATATAAATTGCGTTAAATCATCTTATTTTAGAATTTAAATATTTTTGAAACATTTAAATAGCGCGCGCTGTAAATACTCAAGCTCTGATTGGTCAAGATTTCAGTTCTTCGTTATTATGCGCGATGACTTTTCTACTTGTACCATAGATATGTTCGTATGTCTGGTAGTATCCTATTGCGCATATATAAAAAAAAGGAGTAAACACGTTATCAAGTTAAGCTTTAAACACAATGAGAAGGCAACAGCGATAGCGATAGAAATAGTGATAGCGATAGGAACAGAGGAATCCAACATACGGGAATGCATATGGAATGTGTGCATTCCCGTATGTGGGATTTCTCTGTTCCTATCGCTATCATTATCGCTATCACTATTGCCTTCGTATTGTGTTTAGAGCTTTACTTCGTCAACCTCGAGTGATTTTGATTAAGTTCGAAGCGATTCGGATTCATGCAATATGATCGTAAATCACGGCTGCGAGCACGTTAATTAATACACTGAGAGAAAAATGTACTAAATGTAAATAAATAATTGTGAATAGTATTAATATAACATTTATTTACAGAAAATAAATATTTGTTAAATAAAAGATAATAATGTATAAATCAAATTAATGGTTCTTGTATCAAATAAATATATGTGTTTACATTTAATAAATATTCAACTGGTACTATATTCAAACAAATATTTATTAAAATTTACATATTTATTAAAAGTACATTTTTCTCTCAATATATATACATAAAATAAGATATTAATAATTAATCAAATTTCAAAATGTATAAAAAAATTTTCGGTTCTTGGTTTGAAAAATACTAAATGAGAACAATACTTTTGAAAAAATAAATACTTTTTACATTCTAGAGAGCTAGTTAAGTAATAAAAAATATTTGTTAAATACATCTTTGAAATCTATTTCTTATTTTATATTTTAATCTTAATTAAACACTAAGGTAAAATAACGACATTTTTACTAACGTCGATTCTTAAGACATTGATCTAAAATAAAAACAGCAATTTTATAAATTTATGTTTCATTAATCAAATCGAGGTAATTATTTAGAATACCCTATCCCACCTAGAATCGTAATAAAAATATACTTATTCGACACGTTTTCACTCGAAACGAAAGAATCTAGCAGAAAAATGCAGCTATAACTCAATATAGCATTATGTATACGTTTTGCTTTAATTACACAAATTCATTGCTTTAAGAACAAATATTCACAAACACAAATTTATTTTAAAACAAAACTGCTTTAAAAACAAAAATTTACTATTAATGCAAAGAATTTGTGTGCTTAAAGCAGTGAATTTTTGTTTTTAAGCAGTGAATTTGTATTTTTAAAGCAGTGAATTTGTATTTATGAAACAAAGAATTTGTGTAATTAATGCAGAGTGTATAGCGCTGTATTGAGTCGAAATGACAAATATTTTAAATTCTTCTAAAGTCTCCTACTTTAACGCTACGGTTTTTTGCCAGATTCTTTCATTTTGAGTGAAACCTGTCGAATGAATATATTTTATTACTAAGGTTATAGGTGGGGAAGGGGGGTATTCTAAATAATTACCCAAGCAGACCTGTAGCATAGAGCTTATAGATACAGATATAGCGTTTTTTCTTTCGCATAGTCTCACGGATCAAATAGGTACCTGAGTAGGTACCTGAGTAAGTACTTAAATAAATTTCTGAAATATATTGTATATTCTAATTTTTAGTATTCTTTTTTATATTATAATATTTTTGTATTTATAATATTGTTTTTTAATATTTATTTTGTGTTTAATATCTTTTGTATTTATTAAAGTGTATTGCAAGGAGAGCGTTATAAGTATACTGATAAACAATTCGAATTTACCACGAAATGATGACGTAACTTGATGACAATTCTGATTGGTCGCTCGACTGTCACGGGATTACATCCTGCGCATGGGCATATCTTGTCTTTATATCATGGTTGTGTGTTGAGTGTGGTTGAGTGTGAATATTGCGAATTGTGAGCTCTGTGAGGGAGCAGTGCTATTTGTGTTAGTAGACGTTGGTAGTGATGTGGAACTTTGCAACGGTGAAAATATGACGAAAATAAATCCGTTTACGAATGTCTCGTTTCTGCGTATCACGACAATTCTTTGTACAATATCATTATGCTTAGCCGCCCTGTCCGACAAACAATTATGTTACGACCCAAATTGTTCGGGTAATTGAAGCCATACTTTAGATCTGAAACCCATAACATATTTTTTTCTCGTTCTACTTGACCACATTATGATCATTGTATTACTTTCCCTTGTTATTTAGAACCTGTTTCGCTGGCCAAGACTATACTCTCTTACAGAGCAAACGATCGCGAGGTAATGTCATTTGGTATCAATGTAGATGTCAAAGTTTTTAGTAAAGGTTCTGGAAAACGGACAGACTTATGGGGTGTTGAGGTATACTTTAAATTATCTTTCTATGTTATGTGACGTATATTTTTATTGTTTATATTTTTAAAAACTTAAACTTTCTCTCTCTGCTGATATCTAAGATTGATATTTCTTGATTTCTAAAAGATATATTTTCTCCATGTACTGATTGTTGTTTCAGATAAATGGCAAGCGTGGATTCGCACCCAAATCATTTCTCAATGAATATAAAGTTCTAAAACGTGATTTGTTGTATGAAGTGCCTGTTTATAAGTTTAATGGTGAAGTTAAAGTTCAGCCTGAGAAATTTGAATCAATAGAGAAAGAGAGTAGCGAATCGCATACTTTGTTGAAAGATGAGTTATCTCAGGATGATAATAAGACACCGTCATTAAAATATATAGATGAAGGTATCATAAAAGAATCTCATACAATCAATGCAGATAGTGTATCACCTTCTTACGAAGTGATAGATGGTACCACAGTTTATTTTGAGAGTAATCCATCTGTGCAACCCAGCTCTGTGTCTGAAGTTACTCATACTACTGCATTGCCGAATGAACAAGCTTCAATGACTCCTGATTCTGAAATAGAAGAATTATCATCTGACAAGAATACATTTATCAATAACAAAGAATTAGAACCAGGCTCGAATGATACCAGTAGTAAACTTGAAGGAATTAAATTAGATACTCAAAAAGAGACAAACCTTGATTTTGCGATAGAAAATTCAGAAGCAATAATTGAATCAACCTTAGATACAGTGAACAAAGATGGCATTTCAGTGCTTGATGGCAGTAGTAAGTCTGAAAAGGAATCGTTTAAAAAGATAGAACATACGGAAAAATTAGATGACAGTGTTAAGGAAAATGTAGAAGATAATAAGAAAGAGAAAGTTACCGAACATGTTGAAAGCGACAGTATATTTGCCTCCATTACGAAAACATTTAACATATTATCTAACTTGGAAACTGTGACTACAGATAGCACTATTATTCAAAGTAGTGATGATACAACTTCTGAAACTACTGAGAACAATCTACAATTACAGGAACAAGTTTCGGAAAATATTGAAGTTGATGCTGTAACCGAAAATATTCTTCAATCTCAAATAAAATTGGAATCAAATATAGATCAAAGTTTTACAGATAAAGAAAAAGTAGAAGCGCCGCAAGAAGTTATATATGAGAGTACTACTGAGAGTATTACTGAAAGCATAAAAGTTTCTAATGAAAAGATAGATGAAGCTTCCACAATTATTGTGGAAAATATTACATCTAATGACGTGCCTTTACCTGATAATATAGTACATGAAAATGTTGATAAACCTGCCAAAGAATTGCCAACAACATCTTCAATTTTAGCGAACAATAGTTCTATTTCAAAACTCGACGTTGATAGCCATGTTGAAAATATTGAAAAATCGAAAACCAATGACGCAAAAGAAGTTACAGAAAATATAAGGACTGACGATGCAATTATTTCTGGTGAAAAAGAATCAACGATCTTGTCTAATTTGCAAGAAACTCTAACCACAAATATCATTACTCAAAGTAGCGACGATATTGAGCAGAAATTACTAGAAAGTAATGGAGCATATCTCGAAAATATAAAGAAAGATGTCGATAACGAAGAAATCATTGGCCAAGCTGATAAAAATGTAATTGCTGAAATTTCAGAAACTATTAGTTTATCATCTGAAATAGCAGAAGATATTACGACAAAATCATTTTCAGAAAGTTATTCTGTTGATGAAAATATAGCAATTACAGAAGAGGCATTAAATCGTAGCACTGAAGATATTCAATTTAATAAAGAATCAATTGTACATAATAATGTAAATAAAAATGATAACTTAGTTAACGACATTAGCTCTGATAATGTTCCTATGGAATCTAATGAAATCTCGAAATCTAGCGATCTTGGGCCGGAACAATCTACAGATTCTAGTCAAGAAAGTATAATCTCAGAGCAAACAATGATTCTTAATAAAATTCTCAAGAAACAAGATTTACCAAGTATTGAAAATTTAGAACACAAAGATAGTAAGTTATTATTATAGTATAAAATTATAGTAAAATTATAGTAAAATTATATATTAATTATAATATAAAAAAGTTTCAGTATTATGTTAGAATACCTATATTATATAATGTTAATATGATTATATCTAAACTCAGATGCTTTATATGTTTAGACGAAAGTCAGATCGTCAACTCTAGAAAAAAAGAAAAAACCTTACCTGAATATGGTGATCGCATAAGCAGTGAAATTAAGGTTTTGTATAAAAAAAAGAATGGAAATAATAGCTTGGAGAAACTAGAATCTACATCTTTTCCAAACGAAGCAGAAGGTATTAATTATTTTATTCTATATACAATAATATTTGTTAAGTTCTTTAAAAATGTAATGTGATATTTTTACATAGTAACTTGCACAACAATATGTACAACTTGTACGAAAGATCACGAATGTATAACCGAGACAGTAAATGAGAACGAAGTAAGTTTTATGGAAATTTTTTGTATATTACTCATTTGCACACTTATTTGTACATTACTACTTATTTTTATATATAACATTTTTTTTCTGCAATAGAAGGTAGACCTTAAAAAAGGACAGGATGAAGAAGACAGTTTAATGGATAAAACAAGATTGGATTATAATTATTGGAAAACATTAATGTATCTGTGTGTAACAGCTTTTGCAACACTCGCGTTCACTCTCGGATATTATTACATTGAGGTAAAATTATCTCACTTATATTTAAAGTGCTCGAAACAGAATTTAAATCAGATCCATAATTTAAATTCATTTTGCATATTAAAATCATATCTAAACCTTATTTTATTAACTATTTCTGTTTGAGATATTATATGATTAGTTATGCAAAATATTTAACATCATTCAATAAAGTTTAATGATAAATACATTTCTGTTCAGAATATAAGAAGAGATGGACAGCTTATTGCAAGAATTAATGACCTCGAGAAAGAATTGTTAGTTTCTACAAAAGAATGTGAAGTACTCGGTGAGAATCTAAAATCTATCAAAGATAAGGTGAGCAGTATATGTGAATAAATTGATTCTTTGCTATTTTTTGACACATTTTCTTTTTCGATTATTAAAATTTGAACGTATACTAAATTGTATTGTACTAAATTTTAAATATTTTAATAAGTAAGAGAATAAAGCCTGTAAAACTTACTTGTGTATTCACATTATACGATCTTAATAAATCGTTTATTATTGTTTAAATATTTTAGTTGCATTGCATAGAAGATGAATCATTTGGTTCTAATGAAATGGTTGTATCGCTAAAAGCTGATTTAGAAATATCACAGGTACATGCACAAATATTTTTTTTTTATTATGTCTGTACAAATTAAAAATTGCACATATTTATGTTTTTCTGTTGTAGAATGCAAAGATGGAGTTGGAAGAACAAGTGACTTCGTTGGAGAAAGAGTTAGAAAACATAACAGAAGCTGGTTTAGAAATGGAACGTATGCTAAGAGAAATGTTGTCATCGAACAATGAAGTTAATCCATTAGCTCAATCAGTGGAAAATTTACAGACGCGATTAGACACTCAACAAGCCGCAAACGAATCCTTAACGAATGCGTTGAATCTTAAGGCTCAAGAAGTAAGAGCAATTTATCATAATATATTATTTGCAGATCGATTTTATTTGATTAAAAAAGTACTGTTTTTTTATTTCGTAATTGTGATGCAGCGTGAACTTGAGATTAATATTTGTTATAATATTTGTTTGCATATCTATATGAATATAATAAACATTTTTAAAGATAATATTTATATTTTCAACAGATAATTTACATGTTAAATACAATTTATTGCAGATTGAAACTTTATCAGCAGAACTTATTTCTGCTAAGAAGAAATGCGAGGAACTTGAAGTAAAATATTTGCAGATACAAGATGAATTGGCGACTCAGAAAAATCTTAAAAATAATATAGAACAAACATTAACAGATGAAGTACATAATTTAGAAGAACAAATAGAACAAGTAAGTCCGTAATTATATATTGGGTTGTCCGGAAAGTTCGTGCCGACTAACCTATATAATTTAATAAATGTATACTAAAATTTAAATTTTCTGCGTTTCAATTTTCCTTCAACATCAGCATGAATTTTCCGGACAACCCATTACATTAATTAAAATTAATAACATAAAAATTAAAATATGTTTAATTACTGATAAATATATGGTTCAATTATTACTCTTTTCCCTAGTTGTCTACTGAAAAGTCGTCATTACATAAAGAATTGAAAGACAAAGAGATAGAAGTGAAAGAATTATTAGAAATTATCAGCCAAGTTAAGTCAACAAACAATTTGGATTTGGAAAAGTTATACGATGTATCTCGCATTAAAATTGAGGCAGTGCAACTACGTGAGGAGAGAGACGAATTAAAGATGCGATTAAACGATGTTGATGGAGCTCATCAGTTATTAGAAGGTATTTTAAAAAAAAAAAGATATTTAAAATTTCATCTATTTGATAATTTTTTAAACTTAAATCTTATTCATAATAATACTCTTATGTTGCAGAACATATGAAACTTGTTAAAGAAGAAATAGTTGCGTTAAGCGATCAGTGTAAAATGGCTGTAAAAGAAAAGAAAGATGCAGAGACACGACTTGAAGTTTTATCAAAGTTTTTCCAAGATAAAGAAACCGAACGCCAAAAGTAAATGATGATTAATTTCTAGAATTACATGTTTAAAAACTTAAATAAATTATTAAAAAATACTATAATCTCGTCTTAGGGAAGAGGCTATTTGGTTACAAAAACAAGGAGAAGTTGTATCAACGGTTGAAAGGTTACACACAATGCAAAATGAAATTCAAAATTACAAGTAAGTATTATTTCAATTATTTGATATAATACGTCCAAAAAGAATTTAATTTGCGGAAAGTTAGAGTAAAGTGGATACTTGTATGTGCATTATGATTACAAGAATTTAAGTTTATGCGCTACAATCACAGTTTATCACAGGAAATTGAATTTCAGACAACAAATAGAAATGTTAAAACGAGAGATTGTGGATCAGGAGAGGGAATACAAAAATCAAATATCCGCTCTAGAAACAAAGGCACATGAGCAATGGGTATAGTATATATAAGAAAAATGTGAATACAAGTACATATGTTACTGAGAAATACTTATATAAAATTTCATTTGTTTTATAAGGTCGCTGCCCGTCAAAATGAGCGCCGTTTGGAAGAATCGAAAGCTGAGGCCGGTCAATTACGTAATCGTCTTACACTCGTAGAAAAAAATTTAAATGATACAGATCCCGAAGCGAAGTTACATCGTAAGTATTCCTCTGTTATGAAATAGTAATTATACTCGTATTTAGTTCAATAATGAATAATTAAATACAATAATTAAATATATTTTTAGTTTGAATCAGATTTTATCGTCGATCATTGTTTCATAACTTTTACTTTTTCCATATAGAAATATACATTCATTTTTTGTAGATGAATAATAATTTGTCATAAAGTTCTTATAGAAATTGTAACACGTAATAATGTTGCGATCCGTAGAGTAAGATCATTTAGTTTCTTAGATAATAATTGAAAATGTACAATTGAAATTGAATATGTACAATAATATTATCTGAGATAATAAGCATGTTGGCAACGTTCATCTACAGACGGTGGATCGCAAAATATCGCATGGAATTTACACTTTGGGTTGTCTATTTTCTTAAACTGATTTCCAAACACAGGCCTGGAAGCGAACGGAGAAACTGTGACTTCCCCGCCACTGTTCATAGGAGCAGAATCATCCAGTTCTCCCGTAATGTTTAGCAGTTCCTCGGGAGTTCCGCCGCCCCCGCCACCTTCCTATCTACACTGTTTCCCACCGTATCTGCCACCCTTACCGCCCGCCACTACTTCTGGTCTACCTCCGTATGATATCAGTCAACGTCCTCCGCCACTCGGCGGCAGATTGTCGTCACCTCCGCCGATGTTACCGCCGCCGGCGATACACCGTCCTCCGGCTTCCGGAGGCAGATACGAGAACGCCGGTTCCCCGCCACCACCTATGTCTCCGCCGCATTTACTTCCACCGTTTGACCACCATAGATCACCACCACTGCCTCCATTCGGTAGCGATCATATTCTGCCCCTTCCTCCACCTGGCTCGATATTTCCTCCCCTGGGAACAGCGCATCCATGGGGTGAAGACTCACTGCCGCATCCGCGCAATTCTGGTTTTCATCCTCATCAACGAGAGCAACGTGCGCGCAATCATAAAGGTTTGTGAAAACGATGACAGAAAGCAACGACACGCATTTCATCGGCACGTAGCGATAATCTGTTAGAACAACCTGACGTTTTCCGCCCTTTTGGGAAATTTATATTTTGGTTGTTATTATTATCATGTCTTTTTATTTTTGTGCATGCAAGGACGCAAACGTTTCTCTAAAGTGAGACAGTTTTGGAGTACTATGGAAGGAAATAATCCCAAATAGATGTCAGGTTAAAGAGTTTATAATCAACGATTTTCATTTATGCTAATGGCATATATAATATACTTTTAATTTTTTAAGCATAATTTTGATATTTTTTTATTATTCTTATTATTGTCATGAAAAATTTATTTTTTTTTATAAAATTCAGATAAAAAATTAGCTCCAATTTATCTTTTTTTTTCCTAAATTTTATATATTTTATTAAATTTATTTTTTTTTAGCACTATTCTATATGTTAAATCATAGGATAAATTTTTTTATTTGCGTGTATCGCAGCGATTAAGGAATATATATTAAAAATATAATAAATATATAAAATATATATAGAATATAATAAAAAAGGTATATTTTACTTAATTAGATATTAATTTTTTAGGTTCCTTACATTCTTCGGGAGAATCACTGGATAAGACACATTACGGGAAAGTTTAAGTTTTGTATCTTGTTATTCAATACACTTGTACAAAGGCCAAATCGTCACTGTATCAGTGAGAGTTCTCATTGTGTAACAATTATAAATAAATATGTGATGATAAAAATTTTACGTCAAATATTAATAGAAGAAACGTATTATACACAGGAATTTATTAAACAGTGTCATCTGTCAATGTTATTATCTGTGATTATATAGTAGACTATTCCCTGTTATTTTATTTAAAAGTAGCAATTTTTTATTATCAGTCATCTAATAAATTAGTAATGTCTTTATTTTATGATTTTGAAAATGGAGTATAACAAGTTATTTAAGAACTTATAAAATATTTTTATACATTTTAATTGTATTATGAAAACGGAAGAAATACTGAAAATTTGTAATTAAGTTATATATTTCTGGTAATAATATATACTTTAGATAGCAAATGTTCATAGTAGATAAAATATTGTAGTAAAATTCTTATAATCAGTAGATTATAAAAGATATAATTGTTATATATGGTTTTAAAAATCGAAATAAATTGTAATTTATTACGATAGGCTGTGTTATCAAAATTATTGCAGATTTAATTATATAACTTTAGCTAAAATAAAGAAAATTGGATATTTTTTTACTTTTCTATCTTTTAATTGATATAATTAAAGAAATGTTATAATCAATTTGAAATATATGTGTGTATATATATATATATATATA